AGCTGGCTGGGCAGGTCTGGGGAAGGGTTGGCTGCGCCCATTAACCCCTTCAGGGCCGCACGCGCAGCAGCTCGAGCAGCCAGGGGGCCACCAGCGCTCCTGGATTAACCCTTTACCCCCTGCATGCAGGAAGGAAATGAGGGAGGGGCCCCTTTGCTGGGAGCGGCGGGAGAGATGCCCACAGCGCACAAGGCGGGGGACGTTTAAATGCTCAGTCACGGTCCCCTTTGGCTTCCAGCCCAGTTCCCCGCCGCCCTTTTTTAAGCCTGCGTTATGTTGTCTGGGCCTGCGGACTCCTCTGGACTCCAGCGGCTGATCACAATGCAGCCCCAGCGGCATCCCCTCCCAGCCCCTCTCCGCTCGCACCTGCTAATATTTTACAGGGTCTGAGTCTGGAACAGGAGCGGCACCTTCGTTTCCAGCGCGTCTGGACAGAGATTTCCGGCTTCCATCTGTAGTGCCCTGGCCCTTCCCCGAAGAGCTACCAGAGTGTGGCTCACTGGATGACACTACAGAATAAGTCATCTCTCTTGCTGGCATCATCTCCACCCACGCGCTCTCAGCCCCTGCCTATTAATCACTGACAGGGTTTCAATTTTTGTTTGAAATATTAGAAATCCCTGACATTTCTTACCCGAGAATTCATCTTCTGTGCAGAGACATCCCTGTGGGTAGTCAGTAATTAATTCCCCCAGCACTCCCACACTATAACCGTGCAGAGTGGGAGCTTTGAAAGCAACCCCACTTATGCCCACCCCAAAGCCACGCCAGGACCCAGGGAAGCAGGCTACTGACATCAAGCTGGGCTATGGATCCAAAGATTCTGCCTCAAGCTACACCTCAGAAGATAATCTGGGAAAATACCTAACAGCTACCTGCTGGCCCACTCTGAGTCTTATCAGAATGACCCCCTGAAATGGTCTGAAAGACTGCCTCCCTGGGGAAAGGGGAATAGGTGTATGCCAGGTTATGCTCCTGACTGTGATTTGGAGCATGCACTCCT